CATTACAACCTCCACCTCCTGGGCTCAAGCAATCCTCCCACGTCAGCTTCCCAAACAACTGGGACTACAGGTGTGTGCCACCACATCTGGCTAATTTTTGTATTTTTTTGTAGAGATGGTATTTCACCATATTGTCCAGGCTGGTCTCAAACCACCAGGCTCAAGCGATCCTACTGCCGTGGCCTCTCGAAGTGCTGAGATTACAGGTATGAACCACCATACCTGGCTCCCTCCCTCCCTCCTCTTTCTTTCCTTTCCTTCCTTTCCTTCCTTTCCTTCCTTTTCTTCCCTTCCCTTCTCTTTCCTTTCTTCCCTCCCTCCCTCCTTCCTCCCTTTCTTTTTTTCTTTTCTCTCTTTTTTGATGGAGTTTCACTCTTGCTGCCCAGGCTGGAGTGCAATGATGCAATCTCAGCCACCACCACCGTGCCTAGCCTAAACTTGCATTCTTCTAAGGATGCAAGGGATCTAACCATGAAAATAGCTACCATTTAGGCCAGGCGTGGTGGCTTACACCTGTAATCCCAGCACTTTGGGAGGTCAAGGCAGGAGGATCACTTGAGCCCAGAAGTTTGAGACCAGCCTAGGCAACCTAGCAAGGCCCCGTCTCTACAAAAACAAAAACAAACAAACAAAAAAGTCAGCTGGGTGCAGTAGTGTGCATCTATACTCTCAGCTACTTGGGAGACTGTGCTGGGAGGATCGCTTGAGCCTAAGAGGTTGAGGCTACAGTGAGCTGAGACCATGCCACTGCACTCCAGCCTAGGCAACAGAGCCAGATCCTGTCTCAAAAAGAAATAAGGCAGGAGAGGCTGGGCATGGAGGCTCACTTCTGTAATCCCAGCACTTTGGGAGGCTGAGGTGGGCAAATCACTTGAGGTCAGGTCAGGAGTTTGATACCAGCATGGCCAACATGGTGAAACCCCATCTCTACTAAAAATACAAAAATTAGCTGGGCGTGGTGGTGGGCGCCTGTAATCCCAGCTACTCAGGAGGCTAAGGCAGGGGAATTGCTTGAACCTGGGAGGCAGAGGTTGTACTGAGCCTAGATCTCACCACAGCACTCCAGCCTGGGCAACAGAGCCACATTCTTATCCCAGAAAAAAAAAAAAAGAGAAGAAGGCCGGGCGCGGTGGCTCACGCCTGTAATCCCAACACTTTGGGAGGCTGAGGCGGGTGGATCCCGAGGTCAGGAAATTGAGACCATCCTGGCTAACACGGTGAAACCCTGTCTCTACTAAAAATACAAAAAAATCAGTCGGGCATGGTGGCGGGCGCCTGTAGTCCCAGCTACTGGGGACGCTGAGGCAGGAGAATGGCGTGAACCCGAAAGGCGGAGCTTGCAGTGAGCCGAGATCGCGCCACTGCACTCTAGCCTGGGCGACAGAGCGAGACTCTGTCTCAAAAAACAAAACAAAACAAAAAACAAACAAACAAAAAACAAGAAAAAAGAAAGAAAATAGCTACCACCACTTTCTGGGTGTCCTCTATCTGCCTGAGACTGTGCTAAATGCCGTGTATACCTGATCTCATTTACTTCTCATAAATACCCTGTAGGATGGGTGTCGTTATCCTCATTTTACAGAACCAGGTCACAGGGCACCAAGAACTTGCTAAATGTGAAACCTGGCTTCTCTGTGCTTTCCTCACCAGATCATGCTGAAAAGAAAAAAGGCTTGGCTGGGCTCAGTGGCTAATGCCTATAACCCCAGAACTTTGGGAGGCTGAGGCAGGCAGATCACTTGAGGTCAGGAGTTCGAGACCAGCCTGGCTAACCCATGGTGAAACCCTGTCTCTACTAAAAATACAAAAATTAGCGGGGTGTGGTGGTGCTTTCCTGTAATCTCAGCTACTCAAGAGGCTGAGGCAGAATTGCTTGAACCAAGGAGGCAGAGGTTGCAGTGAGCCGAGAGAGCGCCATTGCACTCCAGCATGGGTGACAGAGCGAGACACTATCTCAAAAGAAAGAAAGAAAGAAAGAAAAAAAAACTTGACTGTTTCTCTCACCTGAGACACAGTTCTCTGGAGTGCAATGGCGCGATCTTGGCTCACTCCAGTCTCTGCCTCCTAGGTTCAAATGATTCTCCTGCCTCAGCCTCTTGACTGTAATTACAGTCAGCTGTAATCCCAGCTACTCAGGAGGCTGAATCACTTGAACCCAGGAGGTGGAGGTTGCAGTGAGCCGAGATCGTGCCACTGCACTCCAGCCTGGGTGACAGAGCGAGACTCTGTCTCAAAAAAAAAATTTATTTTTAATAATAATAATTATTGAAGGCCTCGGTCTTTCAAAGTGTTGGGATTACAGGCATGAGCCACTGTGTTTGGCTTACACTGATTTATAATTAGTTCTGTCTGTGTTTGTTTCTCAAACCATAATGAGGAAAATGTATTCCCAAAGAGGCTCAGTGACCCTGGGCTCAGCTGAATGCTAGTTCAGGAACCTAGGCTAATTTCCCAGCCAGCACTGTAGTTTGGAACAATTAACCTGGATATACCTCAAATATTGTTAGCTTTCCCGGGTGTCTCTTTGACCTCTCACTGCATCTTATTACAACAGTCCTCTTACCTTGCCCAGTTTAGCTTTGTGGTAATTTTCCTTGCCATTGTTTACGGCAACCGAATGGCCTGTTAAAATAACTCTCTGCCTAGGTAGAAGGATGGCTTGAGGCCAGGGGTTCCAGACCAGCCTGGGCAACATAGTGAGAGCCTATCTCTACCAATAATAATAATAATAATAAAAAATAAATAAAATAAAAATAAAAATAAATTAGCCGAGTATGCGCCAGGCACGGTGGCTCACGCCTATAAACCCAGCACGTTGGGAGGCTGAGGCGGGTGGATGACCTGAGGTTGGGAGTTCAAGACCAGCCTGACCAACATGGATAAATACCGTCTCTACTAAAAATACAAAATTAGCCGGCCGTGGTGGCACATGCCTGTAATCCCAGCTACTCAGTAGGCTGAGGCAGGAGAATTGCTTGAACGCAGTAGGTGGAGGTTGCGGTAAGCCAAGATCGTACCATTGCACTCCAGCCTGGGCAACAAGAGTGAAACTTGTCCCCTGCAAAAAAAAAAAAAAATTAGCCGAGCATGGTGTCGCATATCTGTAGTCCCAGCTATTCAGAAGGCTGTGGCAGGAGAACGGCTTGAGCCAGGGAGGTTCAGGGTGCAGTGAGCTGTGATCATGCCCCTGCACTCCAGAGTGGGCAACACAGCAAGACCCCTCATCTTGAAAAAAATTTTTTAAACGCCACAATGACATTTAGAGACAAAAAAATGAGTAACCAGGGAGGATAATATATGCATGTGTGTATGACTCTGGGTGTGTGTGTGTGTCTATACGTATACATATACCTATCTCTCTCTATATATAATCACATGTTACCTCAGCCCATCTGGTCTTTCCACATAGTTCAAATAAACAGGACTGACAAATTTCCCCAGTGAAAATCTCTACAAGCCTAAGAATAAATTTAGCTGATCTTCAAGCCTATTTACACATTACCAGATTGATTCTGTGTTTTCTGGCAAATGTTCCATCGAAGACTCTACCCTTTAAAATGTTTAAATTATTTGCCTAAATACTGCATAAAGACATTTTCATTCTACTTTTTATCAAGAGGATAGCTTGAAAAACAGTAATTCTGAAGCGTGTGTGCTGTGGTGCTCAAGGAGAGCATGCAATGTGCACTGAAAGGAAAAAAATAGCTTTCAAAAAAATGAAGTGAGCTTTTTAATGTCAATGATAAATGTGGCAAAATATAATGCTGCTAAAATAAGGGAAACTAAAGGTTTATGATTTTTGTTTTTGTTTTGTTTTGAGACAGGGTCTCACTCTGTTTTCCAGACTGGAGTGACCACACTGCATCCTCAAACTCCTGGGCTCAAGCGATCCTCCCACCTCAGCCTCCCAAGTAGCTGGGACCACAGGTGTGCACCACCATGCCCAGCTAGTTTTTTTCACTTTTTGTAGAAACAGGATTTTGCTATGTTGCCCAGGCTGGTCTTGAACTTCTGGGATCAAAGGATGGACCCGCCTTGGCCTTCCAAATGCTGGGATTACAGGTGTCGGGCACGGAAACCGGCCTATTTTATTTGATTTATTTAAAAAATGCTAATCCCAGTACTTTGGGAGGTCGAGGTGGGCAGATGACCTGAGGTCAGGAGTTTGAGACCAGCCTGGCCAACATGGTGAAACCCCCTGTCTACTAAAAATACAAAAATTAGCCAGGCGTGGTGATGTGCACCTGTAATCCCAGCTACTCGGGAGGCTGAGGCAGGAGAATTGCTTAAATCCAGGAGGCAGAGGTTGCAGTGAGCCAAGATGGCGCCACTGCACTCCATCCTGGGCAATAAGAGCAAAACTGAGTCTTAAAAAAAAAAAAAAAAGCTCCTCAGCAGCATTTTTAATTCTGTTAAGAGCTACATAACATGAGATTTAGCACTGTAGGCCAGGCACGGTGGCTCACGCCTATAATCCCAGCACTTTGGGAGGCCAAGGCGGATAGATCACTTGAGGTCAGGAGTTCGAGACCAGACTGGCCAATATGGTGAAATCCCGTCTCTACTAAAAATACAAAAATTAGCCAGGCATGGTGGTGCGCGCCTGTAATCCCAGCTACTCGGGAGGCTGAGCCTGGGGAATCACTTGCACCCGGAAGGTGGAGGTTGCGGTGAGCCGAGATCGCGCCATTGCACTCCAGCCTGGGCAACAAGAGCGGAACTCCATCTCAAATAAAAAGAAAAAAAGATTTAGTACTGCAACCATTTTTAAATGTATAGTTTAGCGGCATTAAATACATTCACTTTGTCTGCAACCATTGCTACCGTCCATCGCCTCTCTTTGTCTTCATTTTCAAACTCACCAGTAGGGGGCGAACGGAGACAACGCATCAGCCTCGACCCCACGCCTCCTCTCCCGCGCATGCGCGTCTTACCTGCAACAAGGTGGCGGGGGCGTGCCCAGGGGCGGGGCCTATGGGCCGCGCAGGCGCGTGACTGGCTTTGTGACGTCAGGCTGCGCGGCCAGGCTGGGACCAGGCGGCGGCTCGCGGAGGCGCTTCTCCGAGCGTGACGTGCGGACTCCGCTCCTCCGCGGCCCGCCCGCCCGCCGGTCTAGCCGCCGCCTCCCTAGCTCCGTGAACGCGCCAGGCGAGGGCCAGCGGCCGGGGCGACGCGGCGCGGAGAGGGCGGGCGGGCGGGCTGTGGGAGCGCCGGTCTCTATATGGCGGCGGCTCTGTCGGGCCTGGCTGTCCGGCTCTCGCGCTCGGCCGCCGCCCGCTCCTATGGGGTCTTCTGCAAGGGGCTGACTCGCACGCTGCTCATCTTCTTCGACCTGGCGTGGCGGCTGCGCATCAACTTCCCCTACCTCTACATCGTGGCTTCCATGATGCTCAACGTCCGTCTGCAGGTGGGTGAGCCGTGCCCCCCCGGCCCCCGGCCCTCCCCGAGCGCCCGCCTCGCCGGCGGGATGCAAACGCCACGGCAGCTGCCACTGCCTGGAAGCTGAGTGTATGCCAAGCACCGTGCATTTTCCCGTGCGACCCCACTTTGGGGAGACCCACTAAGGTGGTCCTTATCCCCGTTCTGCAAACGCGGCACTGGGGGTCAGGTTAAGCGACTTGCCTTGGGGAACGTCCCGCAGCTCAGGAGGTGGGGTTCGAGATTGCATGGGCTGGAAAGGTGTTGAAGAGGACCTTTACTAAATGTTGGGTGAATTTTCTAGTTCCGAAACTTTGCACCCCCACCCCTTTTTTTTAATCGTAAAGACGGGGGTCTCGGCCGGGCGCGGTGGCTCACGCCTGTAATCCCAGCACTTTGGGAGGCTGAGGCGGGCGAATCACCTTAGGTCGGGAGATAGAGACCAGTCTGACCAACACGGAGAAACCCCGTCTCTACTGAAAATACAAAATTAGCCGGGCGTGGTGGCGCATGCCTATAATCCCTGCTACTCGGGAGGCTGAGGCAGGAGAATCGCTGGAACCCGGGAGGCAGACGTTGCGGTGAGTCGAGATCGCTCCATTGCGCTCCAGCCTGGGCAGCAAGAGGGATACTGCGTCTCAAAAACAAAAACAAAAACAAGACAAAAAAAAGGGGGGTCTCGCTGTGTCGTCCAGGTTGGTCTCTAACTACTGGCCTCAAGAGATCCTCCCATCTTGGCCTCCCAGTGCTGGGATTATAGGCATGAGCCACCACATTTGGCTTGCAAAGACGTTTTATGTTATCTTTGAAGCTAAAAATGGATTGGAAGTTAACAGTGTTTTGATAAATGTACCTTACTTATTTTGGCCAGAGGTAGAACTGAGGTGTAAGTGTGAAGACTAGGAAAAATAAAATGGGAGAGGTGGAAGCACAAAACTTTTCGGAGGCCTGGAACCATTCAGCTGATCCTAGAGTGTGCTCACACCGCAGCACCCTGGAGACCGACCGCCTGTGCTATAAAGAATTGATATTTCCTTTTTTTTTTTTTTTTCTGAGACGGAGTCTCGCTCTGTCGCCCGGGCTGGAGTGCAGTGGCCGGATCTCTGCTCACTGCAAGCTCTGCCTCCCGGGTTCACACCATTCTCCTGCCTCAGCCTCCCGAGCAGCCGGGACTACAGGCGCGCACCACCTCGCCTGGCTAGTTTTTTGTATTTTTTTAGTAAAGACGGGGTTTCACCGTGTTAACCAGGATGGTCTCGATCTCCTGACCTCGTGATCCGCCCGTCTCGGCCTCCCAAAGTGCTGGGATTAGAGGCTTGAGCCACCGCGCCCAGCCCTTTTTTTTTTTTTTCTGAGATAGAGTCTTGCCCAGGCTGGAGTGCCGTGGCGCCATCTCAGCTAACTGCAACCTCTGCCTCCGGAGTAGCTGGGACTACAGGTGCCCACCACCATGCTGGGCTAATTTTTGTATATTTAAATAGAGTTGGGTTTTCACCATGTTGGCCAGGGTGGTGTCAAACTCCTGACCTCAAGTGATCTGCCCGCCTTGACCTCCCAAAGTGCTGGACTTACAGGCGTGAGCCACTGCGTCCAGCCAAGAGACTGATATTTCTACATCCCTTGAATTTCAGTTGCCTTTTTCTTTTTTTCTTTCCTTTTTTGGTAGTGACAAGGTCTCGCTCTGTTGCCAAGACTGGTCTCAAACTTCTGGTCTCCAGCGATCCTCCTGCCTTGCCCTCCCAAAGCACTAGGATTACAGTCAGGACCCAGTGAGCCCGGCCTCAGATGACTTTTTCTAGTGGAAGGAAAAGTTGTCAACTCGAGAATTCTTTCTCAAAGAAAGGTGGCCAAGTACTGCACCCCTCTTGCATTCCATTTGCATACCTCTGTGATGAAGGAGGGACTTTTTGGGGAGGTCACAGTTGGATGGTACTTGGGTTGCTCCCTGGCGTGCAGAATGAACCAGTCTGAGCAGTAGTACCACCCAGTTGTGAGACACTGCAGGTGCCTTCCCTTCCTAACGTTGGTTTGGCCATATCCAAGTATGATCGTCCCAGTAGCGGGTCTTTAGGTGTCTGGTGCTTGACAGGTGATGGTAGTTAACATGAAACCTAACCCTGGCTGTTGATCAAAATTGAGTGAAGGTGGCCGGGCGCAGTGGCTCACTCCTGTAATCCCAACACTTTGGGAGGTCAAGGCATGTGGGTCGCTTGAGCTCAGGAGTTTGAGACCACCCTGGGCTGCATGGTAAAACCCTGTCTCTACTAAAATACAAAAAAATTAGCTGGGCGTGGTGGCGGGGCAATGGTGGCGTGAGCCTGTAGTCCCAGCTACTTGGGGAGCTGAGGTGGGAGGATCGCTTGAGTCTGGGAGGCAGAGGTTGCAGTGAGCCGAGATTGTGCCACTGCCCTCCAGCCTGGGCGACAGTGAGATGCTGTCTCAAATAAATAGATAAATAAATGAGATGAACTGGCCTCTTTATTTTGAGGTCCAAATTGAGGTACTTTCGTGTGAGCAAGGGCTTGTGGCATCCTGAAATGGTACCTGATGAGAGAGGTCAGAACCTCCAGCAAGTGGCTTGAATTGAGTGAAGGGTGCTGCTGGATCAGGTCAGGGGACTGGTAAACGAGAAGGCCTGTGCCCTCCCCAGTTACCACCTTCGGAAATAGGGGCCTAGTGTTTGCCGGATCTAGTCAGCACCAAGAGAAATCAGAAAGCAAGATTTTTAGATTGCCAATTCACATTTTTGAAAAAGAAACTTTGGCTGGGCACGGTGGCTCATGCTGGGATGACAGAATCCCAGTATATTGGGAGGCTGAGGCAGGTGGATCACTTGAGGTCAGGAATTCAAGACCAGCCTGGACAACATGGCAAAACCCCATCTCTACTAAAAATCCAAAAATTAGGCGAGCGTGATGGTGCATGCCTGTATTCCCAGCTACATGGGAGGCTGAAGCAGGAGAATCACTTGAACCCAGGAGGTGGAGGTTCTAGTGAGCCAAGATCGTGGCACTGCACTCCAGCCTGGGAAAAACAGCAAGACACCCTTTCTCAAAAAAAAAAAAAAAAAAAAAAACAAAACAAACAAGCAAACAAAAAAAACAGAATTTTTTTTTTTTTTTTTTTTGAGACGGAGTCTCGGTCTGTCGCCTAGGCTGGAGTACAGTGGTGCGATCTCAGCTCACTTCGAGCTCCATCTCCTGGATTCACGCCATTCTCCTGCCTCAGCCTCCTGAGTAGCTGGAACTACAGGCACCCACCACCACGCCCGACTACTTTTTTGTATTTTTTAGTAAAGACGAGGTTTTACTGTGTCAGCCAGGATGATCTTGATCTCCTGACCTCGTGATCCGCCCACCTTGGCCTCCCAAAGTGCTGAGATTACAGGTGTGAGGCACCACGCGCAGCCCAAAAAACAGATTTAAAAAAAAGAAACTGGCCGGGCGCGGTGGCTCAAGCCTGTAATCCCAGCACTTTGGGAGGCCGAGACGGGCGAATCACGAGGTCAGGAGATCGAGACCATCCTGGCTAACACGGTGAAACCCCGTCTCTACTAAAAAAAATACAAAAAACTAGCCAGGCGAGGTGGCGGGCGCCTGTAGTCCCAGCTACTTCGGAGGCTGAGGCAGGAGAATGGTGTGAACCCGGGAGGCGGAGCTTGCAGTGAGCCGAGATTGCGCCACTGCACTCCAGCCTGGGCGACAGAGCGAGACTCTGTCTCAAAAAAAAAAAAAAAAAAAGAAACTTCGAGGGCAAAACAAAAAGTGTCTGCAGGCTGTATTTGGTCCCTGTACTCCCCTCTTGAAACCTATTGTCTAGAGTAACATAATTTGCAGTCATTTGTAAAAATCGCAAAAACTACTGTAAGAGAAAACCTTCTACATGATGCTGTTTTGGTGAAAATTGCTTTTTACCATTGAGAAATCTGCCTTTTTCATGAATCCACTTCTCTATTTATAACCACCTCTCTAGTCTACCCTACTGTATCCATTCGCCTGGACTATTGAAGTATCTGCCATCTCCACCAAGCAGAGGCAACTTCTAAAAAACATAAATCAGACTGAGGGCTGGATGTGGTGGCTCATGCCTATAATCCCAGCACTTTGGGAGACTGAGGTGGGAGGATTGCTTGAGCCCAGGAGTTCCAGACCAGCCTGGGCAACACAGCAAGACCCCAGTCTGTACAAAAACAAATTAGCCAGGTGTGGTAGTGCGTGCCTGTAATCCCAGCTACTCGGGAGGCAGAGGTGGGAGGATCGCTTGAGACAAGGAGGCCGAAGATGCAGTGAGCCGCGATCATGCCACTGCACACCAGCCTGGGCAACAGAGTGAGACTCTGTCTCTAAAATTAAAACGACAACAAAAACACACACCCTCCCATAAATCTGATCATGTCATGTCTAAAAGAAGGCTGAACTCTGGCCGGGTGCGGTGGGATGTACGCCTGTAGATCCCAGCACTTTGGGAGGCTGAGGCAGGCAGATCACCTGAGGTCAGGAGTTTGAGACCAGCCTGGCCAACAAGGTGAAACCCCATCTCTACTAAAATACAAAAATTAGCCGGGTATGGTGACGTGTGCCTGTAATCCCAGCTACTTGGGAGGCTGAGGCAGGAGAATTACTTGAACCCTGGGAGGTGGAAGTTACAGTGAGCCAAGTTTGTGCCACTGCATTCCCGCCTAGGCAACCCAGCGAGACTCCATCTCCAAAAAAAAAAAAAATAGTAATAAGATTAAAAAAAAGAATTCTGTGGGCCAGGTGCAGTGACTCACCCCTGTAATCCCAGCACTTTGGGAGTCCGAGGTGGGAGGATCGCTTGAACTGAGGAGTTTGAGACCAGCCTGGGCAACATGGCGAAACTCTGTCTCTACAAAAAAAAAAAAAAAAATACAAAAATTAGGTTGGTGTGGTGGTGCATGCCTATAGTCCCAGCTACTCGGGAGGCTGAGGTGGATCACTTGAGGCCAGGAGGTTGAGGAGGCAGTGAGCT